TATATAGTTAAACATATTCATTTATTTTATATTTATTTGGTGGCTACTTATTTAATTTTAGACTGTAAATACTGTATTAGATGACATTGGATTATATTTAGGTTTATGATAATTTTATTCACATTACAGTCCTTTTCATTTGTGCTTGTGTGCCACTTTACAGTTATGGAACAAAATCATTTAAATGATACAATTATTATATTCTATGTTATATTACACTTATTTTCTCCTGTAAACTAACACGCTGTATTTCCCACTTAATTAACTGCCTGAGACCCCATCAAAGCATCTTTGTTGGCTCTTCAGAAACTGCTTAAGGCCTGAAGTGTCTGTACAGTGCTCTGTAGAGGCTGAAAAGCAGGGCCGGCTGGGGGATTTGAACACTTTTTGACGACTTAATGACCGTAATTGCTGCCGTGTCCTTTTATTGAGCTCTTTGAGCAGCAGATCTGGGGCCCCGGCCCCCGAAAAGTGAAGCCAGTTCCTCTAGGAAGAGGCAGCCCAGGCGGACCTGATCTCCCTGCTCACCATGTGTAACAGAAGAAGGGCAGTGAAGTAAGGCTCACCACTAAATAGCCCAGGCCTAATTAATCATAGAGCAAAAGAGCGAGCTGATGGCTGCTGAAAGGAGAGAGCGACCCACAGCTTGTTCAGCTTCGCCTCCCAGCCTTCCTTTACAGCACTGTGCCACCGGAGAGCTTCATCAAAACGCCATTTGAGATTCTGCTGTACTGTCTGAGCTCCATTCTGAGACGTGTAATTTCATACAGCACTGCCAGACTCCTTCAGACTCTGTAGGTAAGGGCCTAAATGCTGATTGACAGCACTCATGATAAGGTGTGTGTGTCTGTGTGTGTGGGTATGTGGGGGGGTGGGTTTGGTGCAACTTGTTGTAGTCAGTGGACATACTGAAAAAGTCCAGACTTACCTCAATGTGCCAGAAAGGGTTCTTTGTGCAATAAAAAACACTTTTCTTCCTAGAACCGTTACATTATGTAGAGCGTCTTTAACAGTTTTAAAAGGTTCTTCACACTCAGATAACTCATTTTCAGAGAATACTTCTCTGAAGAACATAAATATAAAACTATAAAAATGGTTCTTTAAACCCACCCATCATAGAATCTTTAGGGAAGCAAAATTGGTTCTTCTACACTCCATAAAAGAACCACTTTTGGTTCCATGAAGATTTTTTTAGTGGATGGCTCTTTAGAGAACATGAAGGAATGCGAATACGAAGAACCTTTGTAAAGTTTCTAGAACCTCCACATAATATAAACGTTCGTGATCAATCAAAGACTTTTCCCAGAACCATAAGTCCAAAACAAGACCATTTTAGAAACCTTTATTTTAAGAGAATAGGTAATAATACAATCTTCACTTTAAAATGGTCCCACAAAAGGTCCTTTGAGTGATGCCATAGAGGAACCACTTTTGGTTCCCTAAGGACCATGTTTGAGAAAGAGATATGTGAGTGTGAAGAACACTTTTAAAAGCTTACAGAACCTTCACATAATGTAAAAGTTACATAAGCACTTTAAGGTTCAACTTTACATTATGTGGAGGTTCTTTACAATTTGAAAAAAGTATTTCGCACTCATTTGCAAACACAGTCTCTAAAGAGCCATCGATTGACAGGTTCTTTAGGGAGCCAAAAGTGCGTCTTGTACACTCTTAAAACTAAAGGTGCTAGAAAGGGTTCTTTGTGTGATCCAATAAAGAACCACTTTTGCTTTCCTAAAGAATATTTTAGGGGATGGTTCTTTGGAGAGACATTTTGGAAATTAGATGTGTAAGTGTGGAGAATAACCTCCACATGATGTAAAGGTTCTGGGCAGAACCCGTAAAGTGGCAAGAAATGTTTGCACCATATGAAAGTTCTCCAATCCTTTATAAGGTTCTTCATGCTCCAAAATCTCAAGTCTAGTCAAAGCAAAGTTTATTAATATTGCGCTTTTTACAAAAGGCGTTGTCACAAAGCAGCTTTACAGGAAAATCCGGGTCCAAGCCCCTATAAGCAAACAACAGTGGCACGGAAAAACTCCCTACGAGCAAGACGAAGAAACCTCGAGAGGAACCAAGACTCAAAAGGGGAAAACATCCTCCTCTGGTCGACACCGGATAGCAAACCATAACAGCAGAGAATGAGGTTTGACCATTAGCATAAGTATAAAATCTCTTTTTCAAACCAGATTCCTCAGGGAACCAAAGTAGTTCTTCTATGGTATCATTCACAGACCCTTTGTGGCACCTTTTGGTGAGTGTATGGCACTACACAAAGAACCTTTTTCTAAAGAACCCATCATTATTTTTGAGAGTGATATGGTTGTTGGCGGTGGCATCATATTTAAAGGACAAGTATTGAATTTTAGTCCAGAAGTATCATTGTCAGTTCATTGTGTGGACCTACTTTTAAGGTAATGCTTCCAAAAATGCTCATAAATAAATAAACAAAAATGTTCAATCTGTTTAGACTTAAGGCAGCAGTTTGCATGGACCCTTT